CCGCGCAACGAAAGGAAGATAGAATCGTTGCGCGCGTAAGAGCACCGGGCTCCGTCGCCCGAAGGTCCTCGATCGATCCTGTAGCATAATAAAAAAGCTTCCTTGCGGAGCGCGCGAGCGGTACAATTCGAGATCGATCGATCGGGGGGGAACGGGGGGAGATGCCGTTACTTGAAGATGCCGCGAGGGCGATACCCGATAGATTTTTGACAAATCCAATTAAGAGAGACGCGCCTCTCCCCCGACCGCTCTCGGTGCCGAGAGCGTGCGAGAGCCCGCGGTATCCTTGCGTTCGCACCGGTTCATTCTTCTCGACGAGAACCTAATTGACCTAAAAGGCGTTATCTGTTACTCCGTCTACGGGGAAACCGAGCGCGCTCGCGCGCCGTAAGGGCAACAGAACTATTGCCCGTTGTTGCCTTAATGAGGTCCAATTACTATCGGATGGGTCACTTAGTATGCGGTACCGATATTCCACGGTGTAGCGGGCATTAGTGGGACGAGAGGACGAGAGCAAGGGTCAACACCCCGCGAAGACCCTAAGCGCGGCCTAACGAGGACCTGATCGTCCGCTCTATCGCCGTCGTTGTTGTTTGTCGGTACTGTGAGTGCTCGCTCGCTCTCTCTCTCTCTCTCTCTTACGCGCGCACGTACGCACACGTATCGGCGCACGTGCGCAACCCGGAATCCACCTGTTGAATATTATTCGCTACCATGGCGATCCTCGCGACCAACACGCGGAAGCGAGTCGCGATCGAAACGAGATCCCCCCTTCGCCATCGTACTTTCCTGCGGCCGCGCGTACCCCGCATCTGTCCTGAGAAACCGACGTGTCCATTCTTCCGAGATAAGAATCTCCCTCCGGGGAGAGTAGTTTCACGAGAAAGAGGGAGAGAAAGAGGGAGGGAGGGAGAAGCGTAAAATAGGATGCAATTGATTCATTCATGAAGAAAAAAGTGCCCGTTTCTCAACTGAAGATGTCCGATTTCTTTTTAACTATTCCGCGCGAAGATTATCTCCCCGAACGCGGTGAAAATGAGAGCACACGATGCGCGAAATTCCAAAGCACGATCAGCGTAACGCCGCGCTATTTCCTGGATGGAGAATTGCACGATTTTCAATCTTAGATATAACGCGATATAAGGTTGAAAATCGCAGAAGTAACTCTTATAGTGGTGGTTGTAATGGTAGGGTTATACAATGGCTCTGATTACAATAGTTTTGGCCTTATATGTACACTGCCTTGCATGAACGGAATCCCATTCCGCAGGTGATATTGGAAATGTCGAATTAATTAATTAATCATTTCTAAATATTCGTGCATTATGGCCGCTACTTTAGAGCTTTCTTATTTCACGATAATCAGCAAACATAATGCCAACATTCGGGAACGATTAATTTCTGATATCACTGTCTGAGAGAATGGGACAGCATTAATGCACGGCACGTGGAAGATTGAAAATTATTATTAAAATCGTGTAATAATAAAAAGTTTCAATCCAGGAAATGGCATACATGACGCCGATTTTTACGTTATCACCCCATCGATACGTGATTATTATTTTCCAGGACGCGATTCGCTCTCGCCGAGGTGCGGAGAAGCATCGCCGAACGGGGACGATCCGGGATAATCGATTGGTCGTGCTCGAGTCTCTCGTCCACTTACGGATTCGAGCCGGGCAGGAGATTTTTTTCCCGATTGCTTCTTTCGCGCGAGCGCGCGCTCGCTTTTTCCACGTATCGTACTTTCTCACCTCTTTCGCTGACCGTGACGGCGGCGACGCCGGGTAAGCCCCACCACGTGTGCCTTTTCGTCTTCGCCATCCGTCATGGCTTATTAAGTTGCCTCTTCTTTAAACTGGAGTGCGGGACCGCGCATGCGGTACGCACGCACGCATACACGCCGATTCATCGCCGGCGCGTCACCGACTTTTACGACATCGCGAATTCCTCGCAGCAGGCTAATATCGGGTAGGAAACTACTTCCGTTCGTTTTTTGCTCCGAAGCTTGCCTTCCCCGCGAGGAAGACAACGCGCCAATAAATCACTGTCCCTCTCTCTTTCTCTCCCGCTCTCTTTGCCGCTTCCAGCGTCAAAATTGCGCCTCCGAGAAGGACCGATTTCATTTCGGGCCGATGCGCCGCTTCATCCGACCGATTTTTCGCTCGATCGTTTTCAGCCGTCGCACGAGGTCGCACGGGTAATTTCATAACGGAGGAGTGCGGTCGGGTTACTGGAAGACGCGACGGAACCTTTACGCTCGAGTTCGTAATTACACTTCGTCGCTCGGCAAACCGTGTAGAATTTGCATCGCGGACGTTACATAACACGCGCGACTCGGTGACGACGACGGCACGGGCGGACGAACGAAGGATCCGTTTCGCGCGGATTCACGGACGACGTCACCGTCGCAAAGTCCACGAACGCGAAATCCAGGCGAAACTGGATACTTTGCACGATCCAGTTGTCGAAGTTCTTATCTCCGGCGAATTCCCTTTCCCGGACGGTCTCGCGCGATTTCTTACCTTGCAACCCTCACAAGTGAACGCCCCGAAGTGGTAGCCCGCAGCCGGCTCGCCGCACACCTTGCACTGTTGGTTCATCTGCAATTATAGAAATTATACAAGTTACTCGAAGGATAAGAGATACGTCAGTCAGTCGGTCCGGCTCATCCTTGGAAGAATAAAGCGCTGCTGTGCCGACTGGTGGGGAGGCGAACCGGTTTCCTACGTTCGCTTCGATTTTTATTCCTCCCACGATATCTTACGGATGTTCGAACAGGATTTGGAGTATGAGAAAAATAGCTAGGAATATGGCGGAACTTCGATTATACGCGCTAACGCTAATAACGACGACGAGGAAGACGACGAGGAAAACGACGACGACGGAACGTTGAAGGAATCTCGCACGCCCCTAATTCCTTTTTTTCTCATTCCTTCTCTCTCTCTCTCTCTCTCTCAGTTGAATACTTTCGAAGTTACACAAACTCGGCGTAACGTTCCCGTAAAGCACCGCGATGATATATCGTACGAGAGCTTTCGATGTGTATGCATATGTATCCTTTCGCTCTCTCGGACTCGGCGTTCTTGGGGCCGGGGGGCCGATTAGATCTTCGGCCACGGGCCGTCTCTCGAAATGGATATCCGGGGAATCATTAGGTTCCCTTCTTTCCGAATCTATGTTTCCCCACCCTCTCTTAATGCTCGAATCGAAACCCGTTTTAACCCAGCGGCGCGTCATAAATCAGCGCTATCTATCCGACGAACGGTGCCATCTGCCCCGGGCAGCTCGCTGTCGCCGGGGCGAGGAACCCATTTTTTCGAGTAAACTGGAATAAAATTAGACCACCTGATGGCCCGATAAGGAAGTTACGGCCGGCGTTCCTCGGCGCGAGTATTTCGATCATCGAGAACGCGCGGTATAAAAATCTCCGATCCGAAATTGATACGGGGGGTGGGGGGAGGAGGGCGAAACCAGCCTGCCCCGGGAGTTTATGAATCGTCGCTTTATGGGACGTGTATCGCGCGCGCGCGATTGGAAACTTGCCCGGTCGTCGTGGTTACAATAAAACGATCGGGGTCGGTTCAGATCGCGATGCATCTCTTTCTCTCCGGATAACGGGCGTAAAAACGCGGGTTTATAGCTCACGGAGGGAAGGAACGCGCGTATCGGGGCGCAAATGAGAGGAAAGGAAGAGCGAGCCGATGGGATTTTAGCCGGAGTAGTTTACGCGGGGGACGCAAAAGTCGCCGACACTCGGCTCGTATCTCTCGCGAATGACGCCGCATTGCGCGCGTCGAGTGATACGATTGAGAGAGTGCGCGCAAAAAATTAACCGCACTCGCCCGCGAGCGCTCTCGCGGATCGCTTCGAGGCCGATGGGACCACCTGTGGATTCGTTGATTTAAAAATACAGCGGTCGGCCGTCAGACGAGCTTCCCCGAAAGGATGCTTTTTTTACGCGGGGACACTTTAACGAGAATTCAGAGTGACGGTAATTAGAGCTCGGATATATATATATATACGCGACCGCGTACGTCGTCGTCGTCGTCTAGTCGACTCTCTTTGTAATTGCGCTCCCGAAGAAAACGGACGAGCCTCGGGTTGACGAGCCGGCCGGGGAAAGGAGAAGGACGGACGATATGAGAAGGAAAGGAGAAGAGCCGGGGGTCCGCAGGTTCGTTAAGGTTTTCAAGTTTTTTCGCGAGGTGGTCGCTTAAAACGCTTGCCAACTCACCACTCCTACACGCGCGGGCTCCCCCCTTGAAGTGGAAGGCTGGTTCCTCCGGTCGTCGTCGCCGTCTTGGGCCGGCGGTAAACGCGCCTCGCGATTACCCTCCTCGATCGCCATCCAATAGATCAGACGCTGATTCTTGCAGGTGAAATCTTGCGTTCGGCAGAAACGGTCGTGGCAACTCTCTCAGGTCGAGCCGCTGCGATTCCTCTCGCGGTTGTAACGCACACCTGAAACACCGAAGACGAACTTCGTGACGGGCCGCCGAGAGCTGACACGAACGTTCCGCTAGCCAGTGTCGTTCTGACCACTTTCGGGTGATCGTTACACGACGATCGTTTCTGTGATCTGGATATCGATCTCGGTTAATAGCTCTCTCAGGGAGAACGAGGGGAAAGGTAATGTGAAATCTATTAGGGCTATCCACGACGGTGTGTAATTCTCATTAGACGATGTTCAACCGATTAGTCATCTGAAATTTTTCTAAATGCAGCGTCCGATATCGAGAAACGCAGAAAAAAAAAAGGGATAATGAAGTCATAAAATAATGATAATATAATAATAATATAACGATAATATAATGGTAATATAATGACGCGATGCGACGTCATTGCGAGCTAAGGCCAAGATGTAACCTCTCACTCGGAGATCCTTCCAAGTTTCTTCGCCCGAAATTTACGCACATGCGTCCTCTCTTGAAACACCTCCGGAAGATTTCCTCGCTCGAAATATTCCACGTCCAAACGGATCACGAACACCGACCGCTCTTACCGATATTCTTAATATACATACACACACATAGCCGAGAGAGTCCGAGAATCGGTCGGTCTAAGTGAGTCTAATAGTTCGGACATAGGGGGAGACCTAATACAAAGGTAAATAGAGCACGGGTATATATAACGGACCGCCACTAGATCGCGCGTGTCGCGGGGGCCGGCGAAGGAAAAAACGAACGAACGAAAGAACGAACGAACGAACGAACGAACGGACGGACGAACGAACGCAGGAACGGCGAGATGTGTATCGTGATACGAAGAAAACAATAAGCGCGAAAGGTCGGGACGCGAGGCAAAGGTCGAGACGCGAGAGCGTCGGAGGTGGAGCAATGGCGCGGCCGGCAAAAATCCCGTCGCCCTAATAACCGAGGGGAACGGAACGCCTCGAGGAGCGGCGTATACGTCGTGATTTGCAATAAATCACAGAGCGCATAAGTCAGGCCTGTCTGCGCGACGTTGCTCTGTATTCGCGCTCGTTCGCATAGCCGTAACCGGTAAACGGTACCATTTACGTGGCTTTGGAGCCTATTGATTTCGCGACAGGACTCGCGACGCGACTATTATCGATGGTAGTCCACGGAGATTAATGCAGCACGGCAAGGACGCGACATCGCCGTTACCTTCGAAGCCGTGTCGATTCGGAGAGCCCTTCTGCGCGCGCGATCGCGACGCCACCGTATAAAGGGAATGTTTCGATCAAGTTAAGACGCAGTTTTTTTGCGAAAAACGTTGTGAGTGCACGGAAAAAAATAATTCCGTGAATGTAATTAACGTAATTGTACATGTAATGAAATGTAATGAATTGTAATGTGATAAAATCGTCCACGATGGACGTGCGTAATCCCGAAATTTGAGAGAAGTAGGATAACATCCCGAGAAATCACAATCTCGAAAACTGGACAAAATCTCCCGAAATATCGCGGAAGAAAATAAGGTTACAACTTTGCGAAACGATACCAATATTTCGGAAGATTGTACCGGTATTCAGTTTTCGGGATCGTGCCTTTTCCGTCGCACGGACGAAAACTCGGTTGTCGGGACAGAATGATTCCTGCAGGAGGTATTCTACTCGATCGATACCTCTCACTTCGTCTCGGCCGAGTTTCAATGCAGCTGAATGCTCACACGAATATTCTCGGTCGCGGTGACAGAGATATCGTTTCTCGTCACCGAGTTTTCATCCGGTCCCTGGTATTCAGTCGCAGCGACTCAGCCGTTTCTTTTCTTCCGACTCCTCCAATCTCGTCGCCGGTGTCGTTGACTTCGACGCCGACGTACAACCACATTAACGTAATGGAACGCACGCGGAACAGGTGAAGCGGGAAAAGAGTGTCAACGAAAAGGGGCCCACGAGGCAGCCCGCACTGTAAACACGCAGCACCTCGTACCCCAGTTTCCATGAACAGAGTCAATATTTGCCCGGCACCGGGGCGTTAATGAAGTCGATCGCGTACTCCGCCGTACCCTGCTCCAGATATCGGCTTACGGGGTCACGAGGGTCGCGCACCGGGGTGGTACCGCTTCAGTGTCATCGTCGTCGTCGTCGCGTTAACTCTTCCCGCGTGCATCCTCACACTCGTCTACGCGCCCGTATACCTGCGGCGTACGGGGGCACATCGCAGTTTACGCGCCATTAAACACGAGTCCTGTGTGACGTTTATCCCTTTATGAGGCTTTTTTCGCTGCGTCGGCAGCGCGCTTCCTTTGTCGTCGTTGCCCCCTCGCCACTGTATCTCGCAACCCTTTCCCGGGCCCGCGGCGACTTCGCTCGATCGTCGTCGTCGGTCGCGGTAATCGTCCCCGGTAATCGACGGCGGAATTCCTCCTCTTTACGCGCGCGACATGCCCGACATCGTTCGGCACCGACGAAAATATTCGAGTTCTCTTGTGAGAAGAGAGAACACGATGTGCACTGATAGAAAATTATAGTTATTTTATATCATGATTATCGTTATTTTCGCCAAACACATTAATGTATATTTATAGTAATAGCAACACATACGCACGATTATTAACACTATAGTAACATTTACTAATTATTGAGAAAAATAGTTCTCATATTTTTCCGGTGAAAATAAAAGAAAAGAGTATATTTAGCGTCGAAATTAACTATAATTTTCTCACCAATGTATTCTTATGCTGCGGTTTACGACTTTCACTCACGATTTTGGCTCTGCTTCCGAAAACGCGCAACGATGGTCCGACCAAGTTGGGGCTTTATTGAATAATGAGACGCACACTGCGAGATACACCAGAGCAATTAAGTGCGGAGGCCTTGTCTGCTTCGACTTAACGACTCAGCTCGGTTGCCAGACCAAACTCTTCGACCGTTCGGAGACCACTCTATTAGTCAATCGCTCCAACGCGACGCTTTTCTTATCGGGACGAATAATCTGACGAATCACGTTCTAAGGACACGTGCTTTAGATGACGCTCGTCAAAAAAACGCAAAATTTCATCTCAACTGCGCTTCAACGTGAAGCGCGATTAGATGCGATCTCGCGAGGCGCGAGGAGCGCAGGAATCCGTACGAGCGGAAACAAAAAAGCCACAATAACGCGACGTTTATTGGACGGAGCGCGCGACAAATAGTTTTCTTGAACCTCGAGCCACAGTTCATATCAGTTCGGTCCCGCAGCGAGAGTCACAAGAAGACGATCACAACAGATACGGTAAAAAATGCGTATGATTTATATGGGTCACGGTGCACACGATGCGAAACACGGAAGAAAAAAGGATCTCGCGCGGAGGAGCGCCGCGGTTCGTACTCGCGACAGTTCTCCGGGGGAGGAGAAGAGAGGACGAGAGAGGAATCATTGTACAAGGAGGCGAGATAGAGTGAAGTATAGAGGAGAACTAATAAACGAGCGGGCCGCGCTACCGTTCGAAGAAGATGGACGATTTCTCGGACTCATTTCTCGAGTGTTTACCTCTCTCGGAGCGCGAAGATCCCTCGCGCGTATAATGGTGCTAATTTCGAACGCTCGTTCCGAACGGACGATACGGGGCAGCGGCGAAAGAGATCGCCCGTTACGAGAGGAATCTAGTTTTACGCGGTAATTTGCGCAACGGGCGCGTTACCGACTGTATAATCACTTTTCCGCGGCCGTTCGCAGGCGCGTCCGTCGTTATTCTCCGCGGCAACGAGAGTACACATTAGAAACCGCAGTTTGCGCGATATAATTAATCGGCGCGGTATTAATTCACATATTTATTACCGCGTTAAGAATGAGCACTTGATTACTGTCCGGGGTCTGGCGTGATGTACGGCCGGCGATTTTTCTCGGTACGTTAATGAGTTAATGAATCTACACGAAAGAACGGGGCGATATATCACCCGGAATACGCGGCGACGCGCTCGTCCCGAGGTGTACGCGCGCACCAAACTTCCTTCCTCGCGCCCAAGTCCCCCCGTCGAGTCCGCGCGATTCTCGATATTATCGGCGTTTAATTATGCGTGGCGGGATTATACACGCGAATAAATGCGTACACTGTGTATAATCGACTATTACCGGATTACATAAAGTAAACAGGATCTTGCGCGCGCACGAGGCAGAAAAGTGCTCGCGGCGAAGCGCCGACCGCGCGCGAGGAAGGAAGAGGAAGACGGGCGGAAGGAGATTTCGAGATGTGGCGCGTCGACGCGAGGAAAACTGGTTGTCCCGTCGCGAGAGCAGCGTCGGAATCTTCTTCCGGTTGTGAACGATAACGGTCGCTCGGCGAGGAAATTTTCCGGGGTTCGAACTTTGAGAATAGGCACGTCAACCCTTCATTCGCAGATTTATTTCTCGTTTATTGTTTACTTTGGCGCGCTGGTCTGCAAGACTCAAAAACTTCTTTGACACGATCTTATTTAAATAGTGGTAAATATGCAGATTTATAGTTTCGAGCGACAGGTAAATTAGAAAATTTTTCGTAATTATTATTTTTGAAACAGAGATAATTTAAAATGTAAGAGGAATGTGTCGATTTTATACGGAAAGAAGGATAAAACATTTTGCATGATTTGAGAAGAGAATTTTATGTTGATATGTATACATCGAGAAAAAAGTCTCGACATTTGCAGTTATAATCGTATAAGTGGAAGAATTATTATCAGGAGGACCGTTTTTCTAGTAAGCGTTACTATAATGTCGGTGATGACGATCTGATACTAATACATGAATATTGCTACTATTATTTTTTCAATTAAAGTCGAAAAAGAGATGTGCCGAAAACGACTGTAATTTTAGTAAGATTTTTCCTGATGTAGTAATTCAAGATTTAGCAATTATAGGATTTTAATTTTTCATTTGGGTCAATTTGATTCATGAGTGCCAAATGAAAATTGAAATAATAAAGTTTTGAATGCTCTTTCACGAGCGCGTTAATTTCTCAAAATATGATCTTCGAATGTGATATCGTTGTTCTCTTCGACGAAGAGGAAGATATATCCCCGTGGAATCGTGGACCCA